ATATCTAAGGAAAAAGAAGCACAAATTTCTTATAGCTCATCACATCATGACTAGAATGTGTCAATGGGTGCAGTACAAATGTAACAAAAAAAACATAGTTTCTAATAATAGGAAATCATTGAAATCAACAATGGCACAGTTTTTATCTGGCGGAGGTGGACACGACGCAGCAAGCTTGGAAGCAAAACACAAAAATCATCAATAAATTGATAATCAGTATCACTCCCACGGCACACAACTCAACAAATTCAAGAACAACGGGGATAATGCGAAGAGAATAAAAAAAATCTTAAAGAAAGTCCTAAAATAGTATATTGTTGTATTAGGAGTAGAAGCTTTACTTTTTTGTGCTGAAGCAGTAGGTTTGCGAGCCGAACGTAGAGCTTGCAATACTGCTGAAGCACAAAAAAGTGCTTCTACTCCGTATGCAACACGCTATTTTTTCTCCAAACGAATGTGGTAAGCTCGGGGGTAACTGGATGGTTGAGCGGCAGTAAAAGTACGAGCGGCACTAAAAGTACTTTTACTGCCGCTCCAGCGGCACCAAAAGTACTTTTGCTGCCGCTGGGGTTGCCAAGCAGCATGGAAATTAAATTTCTACCACCTCGACAGGTGTTAACCTCCTGGATTTGCCTAGCAACATAGAAATTGAATTTCTACCATCTTGACAGGTGTTGACAAAGTGATGTGTTTTTGACGTTTGGAGAAAAATTAAAGGACCCCGCACATTTCTTATGGAAAAGTGATCTATGTGGAATTTTGCTGAATTTTTGATATTGTGTATAGGGAGTCGTCCTTAACAAAAGTGATCATTGCGCTAATGTTCAATACCCAACAGTTTTCAAGATATCAATTAAAAACTTTTTTAAAAATACTCTTCAGTATGACTATTTTTTTAAATTAAAGCGGTATCATACTTTCAAATTATAGTTATCGGAAAACAGTTTAGGGAGTGACTACTGCACTGTCTAGACAGTGCCGTCTGAAAACTATCTGCACTGACCAGACAGAGTCGACTAAAATCTATCAGCACTGTCTAGACAGTGCCGACTGAAATCTATCTGCACTGTCCAGACAGTGTCGACTAAAAACCATCTGCACTGTCCAGATAATTTGATTATCATATCATATAAAGTCGCAGTTATATTCAAAATGGCTTGCATTCCTTGCTGGGATTCAGTGTATTAATAATTATTTTTGTTATAAGTTCGCAAAATGAGTGTTTTTTCAATACTTCAAGGTACCTAAAAGCCTAATTTTCACAGGTTGGGTCGAGGCCAAAAATTCATTCGAAGTTACCCATAAACACAAATGTCGCATACAAAATACAAACAACATTTTTCCTACGAGCGTGCTCAAAGTAGTACTTTTCCACACGCATTTCCGTACTCAAATTTCCACTTCCGCACTCCGTGAAAAGTACCTACTACTTATTTGCGCACGCTTGTAGGGAAAATGTTTGTATTTTGTATGCGACATTTGTGTTTATGGCCACCCTCGAATGAATTTTTGGCCTCGACCTGACCTGTGAAAATTGACACTCTTAGGTACTATTCAAAAATAGCTATTTAGCTAACAAGTGCGGAAAAATATTTTCCGCAAGTGTTAGGTACAATATTTTTCCTACAGGCGTAAAAATGTAAAATTTTTCTTTTTTTTTTGACATATCAGTGCGGTAAAATTTTTCCCGCACTGACAGCCGTGCGGAATAGTATATTACATACCGAGGTGGAAAGTGTTTCATTACTGTCGAGAGAGTTAGACCGAGGCGCAGCCGAGGTCTAACTGAAGTCTCGAGACAGTAATGAAACTTTTCACCGAGGTTTGTAATATACTTTTTTATTTACAATCATTCGAATTTTGAAATTTTCATTTGGATTAAAACTAAAAAATACAATAATTAACAATTTCATTTACTTTCGACCCACAGGTCGAAAGTTTACTTTCGACCCGTGGGCCGAAAGTAAAAGTCAAAAAATACAATAAATTTTAAAAATTTCATTCACTTTCGACCCACGGGTCGAAAGTAAACTTTCGACCCGTGGGCCGAAAGTAAAAGTCAAAAAAGTGACATTTTCGAACTTTTTAAAAGTCAGTAAAGTCAACATTACATGTATGATTGTAAATAAAAACTTTTTCCGCACTGATATGTCAAAAAAACAAGTTTTACCACACCGTGCGGGAAAACTCATTTTCCGCACGCATATCAGTGCGGAAAATCGATTTTTCCGCACGGCTGTAGGAAAACATTCATTTTGTGGACTTATTACAAAAATAATTAATAATAAACTAAATCCCAGCAAGGACTGCAAGCCATTCTGAATATAACTATAACTTTATGCGATAATATGATAATGAAATTATCTGGACAGTGCAGATGGTTTTTAGTTGGCACTGTCTGGACAGTGCAGATAGATTTCAGTCGGCACTGTCTAGACAGTGCTGATAGATTTTAGTCGGCACTGTCTGGTCAGTGCAGATAGTTTTCAGTCGACACTGTCTGGACAGTGCAGTAGTCACTGCCAACAGTTTAACGTAAAATTTGCCTGTTCGCATCCGTTATTTTATAACCGTAGCCTAACTTGTACTTTGTTGTGATTTGATTTGCGTTGTCAGTTGTTCATGGTCAGGGACAGAGGATTTGCTTTTTTACTATTTTTTGAACAATCCATATTCACTTGAACACAACAAAAATGATAAAATAAACAATAAACATAACATAACCTATTATTCCACGGCGTTATTTTTAGACGTTATTCGAAATAGCGCTTAACGTAAATGCTGAGTAAACTACGTTATGCGGTAACGTTATTTTAGTACGTAGTGTTAAAAATCGAATCGCGCATAGGTTTAGTCAAAATAACGTAGGCGCTAATACTGCATGACACTATATTTGGGTTACCGATATCTCTCTAAACGTCAAACCTGGTAAAAAACCTTGGTAAAAACCTTTGGTAAAAACCAATGAACCCCCGATTTGTAAGAGGTCTGTTCTGCAGAAATCACAAACCAGTCAGGGTGAATTTCATTGGTTGAAACTAGTTTTCTGACTGTTTCTGACTGTTTTCTACCAATGAAATTTGTTCTGACTGGTTTGTGATTTCTGCAGAAACAGACCTAAAGCCTAGTCTCCATGGACGCGAAATCGCGAATTTTTTTTTGCGGATATTTTCCGATTGGTTGGAATTTGACATTTAACATTTGATTTTTTTATGGCGGGAAAAATTCGCGAATTTTTTAACTTCTTGCGGCGTCGCAAAAAAAGTTAACTATTTTTTAACTTTCCGCGAAATTTCGCCAAAAAAAAATGAGGTTATGTGGTGTTACTTTCAGTTTAGTTTTGTTTATGTTTTTGTCGGTATGTGCTCTGTTCTGTGCTCTGTCCTCTGTGAGTCGTTGATGTGTTTTGTACTTGTAGATACCTAATAAAGAATGGATACTGCCAAAGAATTGAATATTATTGTAGACCCGAAAACAGACATAAATTACAGCTTGCTGGTGGATGAGGAAGATTATAATAGGGCCTTAAATGTAATTAAGACAACACCAAGACACATATCTTTTTTTGTTTTTTAGTAATCACTTTCATGGTTTTCAAAGATTAGTGTTTGAAATTCAAAGCATTTAAATCGAATTCAAATTGATTACAAACAAACAACACATAGGTAACCTTAACCTGTTAAATAAAACGCGAATTTCGCGCTTATGGAGACATGGGAATAATTTGCTCGGAAATAGCCACCAAAAAATGACACTTAAAAAATTCGCTTTCCGCGATTTCGCGTCTATGGAGACTAGGCTTATGGAATAGATGCGTGGTGCAACAAACACTTTTCGAAAGGAATAAGCGCGGAACGCCCCGGTTTCAGAGCTCCTCCTAGATGTAAAAGGAATACAACTAAGGGCGAGTTCTCATGAGCGTAAGTTGACATTTCTGGCGTAATCACGTGATAAAATGGTTGGATTTTATTGGTGAAATATTCGTCATGCTAGAGATTTTACCAATCAAATTACACCTTATTATCACGTGATTACGTCAGAAATGTCAACTTACGCTCATGAGAACTCGCCCTAATGGTAATAACCTTGATAAAAACCTACTTCAATGGTAAAAACCAATGTAAAAACCGCAGGGCGTTTTTCAACCCAGTCCCTGAGTGGGGTAATTTGGGCGCACTCTAGGCACGTCAACTCTCGATTCGAGTCCAGCGAAAAGCCTAGTACTCATAACTGCGAAATTCCCACTTTTTTGACATTGTTTTGACAAATTGACGTTTTATGCGTGAATCAAACGTGAAATTGTCGAAGCAATGTCAAAAAAGTGCGAATTTCGCAGTTATGAGTACTAGGCTTACGCTCCGAGTAAGCACTAATTAATTTCTGAACGGTTTAGAGTTACTCTAGGGTCCCTCTCACACCCAGAGTGCTTCTAAAGGCAACCCTGTAGTTGGTACGTTGGTTGTTGGTTAACAATGAACTATAACACAACCAAAAACTGGAATGCTAACACAAAAGGACGAACGTGAAGCCTAGTGCGGCTGTTGCGGAGGGGATACCTGTTTTTGTCGCACTCAATTATGTTAAATGGCGAAAATTGCTTCCAACACTTATTCCAATTGATGAAACCTGTGAAGGAAAATATGACAAAACTTTCGAAAACGTCATATGTCAGCGAGCAACAGAAAAAGACAACATTCCCCGTTGTGGCATCTGTCTTTCATGGCTTCATTTTTTTGGCAGATATGGCACTGTGTGCGCATTCCAGTTTTTAGTTCTAGTTCATTGGTTGGTTATTTGTTTTGTAGGCAAATGGCAACATCGCGCTGAGCCGCCCGCCAGCAAGCCGCACGAAGCTAAAATATTTTTGAGGTTATCCGACGTTTTCAGAGCGTTTGCTTGGCTTGTTTTGAGCTGATTTTCTATAAAAATAAATCAAAATGGTAAGTTTCTTGAGTTATTCGTTATTTTCAACATCTAATATAACTTTCCAACACTTTTTAGACGATAGGTAAGAATAACAAGATGATCCAGCACATAAACTATCGTGTGCGGATCACCCTGAACGACTCTCGAACGTTTATTGGCACGTTTAAAGCCTTCGATAAGCATATGAACATGATTTTGGGCGACTGTGAAGAGTTTAGAAAAATCAAACCCAAAAATTCCAAAGTTGAACGGGAGGAAAAGCGAGTACTTGGCTTTGTGTTATTGAGAGGCGAAACTGTTGTTTCTCTGACTGTAGAAGGACCTCCGCCACCAGAAGAGGGACTGCCTAGAGTACCGATTCCAGGAGCAACTTCTGGACCAGGTAATTTAACACACTCTGTTTTGCATAGTTTATTGTACACTTGATTGTACATCATAGAAAACATTGAACTATTGTGCTTGCAACCTGGCCCGCTATCACTATGATTTCCTATCACAAAAATGTTTTCAGAACCCTTATTACCTATGAGGTTAGCTAAAATCCATGCTTAGGTACTACATAATGGTCTTGTTAAGGGTACTACACAAATCTACAAGGTCATTGGATATCCCTCATCGATTTCCCTCACCGATTTCCTTCACTCTAATTAATTCACCTTTACTGGGAACAATAAGAACCCAGGTAAAAACGTCAGAACAGTAACAATGGCAGATTTTGGCATTTTTGTATCAGTTTGTAATTTATTTTTTAATATTAAAAAAATTAGATGACTAATCATAATTGATGTGTGCTTGCAAATAAAATAGTATACAAACCTCGGAGGAAAGTTTTCATTTCTGTCTCAAGATTATTAGTTCGCGTCTCGATTGACTATATAAATCTCTTAACTGTGATGAAACACTTCCCTACTTGGTATGTAATATACTATATTTAACGTTTTCAACACATCCTGGCTTAAATTTGGTACATTTATAGGTGTTATTAAAAAGTGCCATCATACAAGCCCATGATGTATCCTCTTCTGTTATTTTTACAGCTTTGATTTATATAGCTCAACATCTATACCTCTATTTTAATGTATGAAATAAACCTTAGAATAAACAGTGACAGGGCTTCGGATATACAGGGTGACCCACTCGGTGACCCATGACGAAATATCAGAAGAATATTATTTTTTCTCATATGTAACACCCTATATATTATTCTATTTTTGGATTCTTCTAAAAATTGAAATTCAAGATTTTTTTTATTATGTACTGTAGGTCGAGGTGTAGGTATTATCTCTGGTATTATGTTCTATACTTGTCTTCAACTATTCTACAACTGTTTCCGAAATATCGTGAATTTCAAATCAAAATATCGCGGGTGAGCTGGCAATACCTCCTATGTTATCTTGCCTCACTTTTCAGGACGTCATAAAAACTATGTAACTCTGGAATGGCTTGCTAGATTGCTTTTTTATTTGGAATGATGATAAAATAGTACTCAAGAATAAGATTTTTATGATAGTTGAGAAAAAATTGTAACACCATTGGTTTTAAATGCACTTAGGAGCGATTGCTTTTATAAAGTTGGAATATAGGACATTATGCTCTCGATTTTTGCTATAAAGGGAGTTATTGAAATGAAGGAAAAATTGAGCTTACATTAGTTTTATTATTTTCAAAAATAACTCAGGATTGCATTTCTAAAAATTCTAAGAAATATAAAAAATATTCAAAAGTAGGTACATAGATACAAAAAAACAAAATAAAAAAATATCCAAATTCAGTAAAATAAACTGAGATTAACACAAAATAAAAAAACATTCAAATTCAGTAAAACAAACTAAGAGTAACACAACACAACAACAAAAACTACATCTTATTTGGTATACAAAATATTGTCATAAAATGCATGAGTGTCTTTAGGCAGTACCGATTTAAGTTCCTGTAGATGTTCCCATTTAGATTTTTTAATTTTGCTAGGTGCACTTAACAGGGGTGGGTATGAATCAATAACTGGGATCGATTTGGGCCTAACTGGCAGACTTATATAGGGTTCTTCATAGGAAAGCTTAACAGTTATTTCAGGAGTTGGCAGCGCAGTGTATCTGATACATCTTATGTCATTTATTACTGGCTCATAGGCTCTTTTGCCAGGTCTGAGAGAAGTGTATCTTAAATGTTTAGTTTCTGCATAGTTTTTAAAGAAATTAAATTCCAGCAACTTTACATCATAAGGTCTAGGAGTAACCCTACATTCTCTTGACACTGAGCAATAATCACTTGGTAAGTGAATTTCTCTGTTTTTTAATTTACGCTCAATTAGGCTATGAACCGAGTCACATTCCATTTGGGTATGCCCCGGTTCAAGATACTTTTGGTAAATGGTAACTTCATGTTTCATTGCCAAGTTCAGCAAAGCATTCGCCAACACTTTGTTTCGGTTTTGAAAACCACATCCGTCAGAGTAGATGATAATTGGTACTTTGGATTCTGTTATGCATTTGGATTCTAAATGATCAATAATACACGTTGTAAACGTAGATGCACATAAGTCACTATTCTGATCTTCAGAAAACCAATAGCATGTGACGTCCCTTGTGGCAAGATCATAGATAGTGAAATTATGACAGCATAATTTTGTCTTGAAGTATAGTTTTCCTGCAGGAACATAAGGCGACAACTTAACCGCTTGCAAATCCATTGTCAAAACAATACATTTACCCTCTTCTGCTAACTTTTTGTCTTTGATTTTTTCTTCCCTAGCTTTATTTTTATTTTCAATGTGTGTTTTCCACTTTGACTCCTCAATGTTATTATATTTATAGGAAAAGCAAGTATTGCACTGATCCTTCTTAGGTGAAAATATAGAGAGGTTTTTCTCTTTAAACGCTTTTCTGAAAATTTTTCTGTTGAGAGGCTGACCAGTATCGAATTCTGTGCAATAGTCTGTGTAAGCTTTATAAAGATCAGTGAAGGTCTGGAAGGATTGCTCTAGGTAGAGTTTTGAGGTATCTTTTCTACAATAATGTGCTGGCAACTTAGGTAACTGCTCAAAAAATGTATTTAGATTTTTGTACTGATTCGCGTATTTATCCCTGTTATAGTTGGTGTTCCTGGAAGATTCGGAACCCATGCCAAATGTGCCCTTACTCACCCAATCTTGGATAGTTTTATATCCTAGGTCTAAAGTTTTTATGAACATTTGCCTACAAACTTGAAGTCTTTTGTCTCCTGAATTCAAATAATATAAGTATGTACCCTGTCTTCGCGATGCTTCTCTACCCCGTGCAGTATTTTGTTTGATTACATTCGAAGATACAAAAACCTTTCTTTGACCCCAATCCGTTTCGTTCCAAAATTTACTAAAAATTTGTTGTCGTGTTTCTTCTGTAAATTGTTGACAAAATCTCTTAGTACTTTTTTTGCATTTTGTAGATTTGCATGTTTCTTTCAATCTTCGTTCAACCCTTTGAGTATCCTGCTTCATTTTCTCTCCTTTCTTCTTGCTAAAACCGAGATAAGGTTTTCCTTCTAGCCTTAGTTTTTTATTTTTATTTCTTTTCCACTCTTCCGAATTGGCAACTAATCTTCTTTTACGCGCCTTATTATTTTCTTCTTGATTCCCAATTTCTGCATCTAAATTGGCATTTTCTGTTCGATCAATCATCTCCGAATCCTCCGAATCGGAACTATTATTGTTGATTTCCGATTCGGGTTGGTAGTCTGAATCGTTATCTTTTTCATTATCATAGGTTGATTGGTAATTCTGTTCTACGACTCCTAAAACACAAAAAATAGGTCAGTATACTTTTGTAGATTTTAATGCTGAATCAAATAATTACCATCGTTTTTTTCTAGTGAGCTACTCCTCACTGATTCACTGCCAGTTTCATTGTTATCAAGCAAATCATTCATTACTTCAGATCTTTCTAGATTATTTGTTGATTGTTCAAGTTCTGAATTGATCGATATTTCCAAAGGATTTAGCAGAGTTTGATTAATCAGCACACCATTTTCATCTAGCTCATACATATAAGATTCCTCTTCAAGCGATACTGTAGCGTTATCCTCCAACAGGCTATCAAAGCACAGGGAAACAAGATTGTTTTCTTCATTATCTTCTTTAGAATTCTCAAGCTCATTCTGTCCATCTAGCATCACCACCGGTAGATTTTCAATATCAAATTTTATTTTTTTTGTACTTTCGGTAGGTTCAATGACGTTAATATTATCACAGTTAGTTTCATTATAAGTCTTATTTTCTTTATTATCATTAGTATTCTTCGTTTGTTCATCAGTCTTATTAAATTCATTATTATCAATATCACTTTTGGATTTTTGGTTGGTAGTTATCATAGCTAAAATTTTCTTGCCGCGTGAAGTCATTCTGACAAAACCTCCTATTTGCACAATATTCTTAGATATTTTTCGAGGCAAAAGCTCCTATCTAAAAGAAAAACCTTATAAGGCTATTATGGCAATAATCTTTCTATTTTTCAATATTGGAATTAAATTTCATAATGAGAAGACTTAGGTTAAAAGTATAATAACTCAAAACTTACCGCCTAAGCCACTATTAGCTTCAAAAATAGGAAAATTCGGGAGCACGACACACATAACAACTTGCCTCAAATAAAACTGTGTAATAGGAGATATTGCAATACTGTTTTTGGGCAGCATTTTAATAGGAGAAATTTCAAGGCCAAATTTTCAAACAAACGAGATTTTTGGCCAATAGGAGATGTTTACTAACGGTTGCGGAACGTGCATCTGTATCTATATCACAATAAAGCTCAAAATCGTAAAAATGCGAGATAGGAGATATTGCCAGCTCAGCCGCGATATTTTAATTTATTTAAATAAAACAAGAAAACCTAAAACACTCAATATCAAATAAAATGGTTCAATGCAATGAAATAAGAAAATTAATTAGTTAATAAATGTTCAAAATGACCTTCATTTTCTTGAATGCAGAGTCTAACAATGTTCTAAGCTATCTACTTCATCACTGAACATAACTGGATTGTCTTTTATGGCATTAATGTCATAAAATCTAAAAAATAAATTTCTAATACTTAGAAAAAGAAAACATACATCCCTTCTGCATTTTTGGATCTCAATTTTTTTTTTATAGGCATTGGCAGAGCTGCAGGTCGAGGAATGCCTGCAGGAATGAGCGGAGTCCCTGTAGGATTACAAGGTCCAGTCAGAGGTGTAGGCGGGCCATCTCAGCAAGTGATGACGCCTGGAGGAAGAGGTCAAATGGCGGGTCCACCACAAATGAACCACGGTCCACCTAGAATGGGAGCACCTCCACCAGGAATGATGGGCGGTCCACCACCTGGTATGATGGGCATGCCTCCAAATGCCATGGGCATGGGCAGAGGTGGTCCACCACCGCCACCAATGGGAATTAGAGGTCCCCCACCTGGTATGATGAGAGGGGGACCTCCTGGACCACCAAGAGGATATTAGTTGTAAGGTAGTTTAAATTTTATATCTAGCTTGTATAGTTTCTTGTATAAGAGGAAAAGGGGTAAAGTTGATGGTAACTGGCTGTATGACAATTTCTTTATCAAAAATTGTCATGTCAGAAGAAATTTGTTTTATTTTTTCAGTTGACTGAGTCAGCACATACTTATTGGATAATTTAAGTAAGTACATACTTATGATTCAAAATGTCCAGACAGTACAAGTGGGCAATCCACTGCAGTTACCTCATACGCTATGAAGTTGCATCACTTCTATATTTGGTTTATATGTTTTTTTAAAAATTTCAAATTTTATACAATTTTTTTGAGCCTGCATACCTCTTCAAGAAAGCACAGGAGATCGCTCATATGTTTTATTTGTGAACGCCAAATAAATGTTAAGATTAACGAAATTTGCTCGTAGACTTTTGATCATGTCATGAATAAAGTAGTCTGAAGTTGTTCTTCTTAAAAAAAAAAACTTGGGAAAGAATTATCAATTGTAGTTTGTTGGTCTAGTAACTTGACAGGATGCCCCTATTAGGAAATTTAATAAATAAATCACAGTAAGTAAGTGTGCATGTACCTACTAAATTGTTCCATTATGGGCTGGCTAATTTAAGTGTTACCTTAAACTGGCAAAAGAATATCAGATTTTTCAAATGGCAGAAAAAATCCAAAGTAATATTCCTGACTGAATCTGTGAATACATTTTTCACCAATATAAATACCTTTTCAAAGGGCTTTTATGTCAATTGTGACCTTATTATTCCTCATATATTATTTACCTTACTTTATTATATGTTATCAGATTGTAATTTTTAGTTAGTTTCAAATCTGTATATGGATCACTTGTGCTGTCCAATTATCTTTATACCTCTTTTAATTTACTGATTGTTCTAAAATTGTGAAATTGGGAGTTGAATTCTTAATAAAATAATATTTATTGATCACAACCAAGCTCTTTAAAATAAAAATTAATATTAAGTACATATGTATTTTTCTTAAAATATCTTAAGTACATGAAATATTATATCATGATCACAAATAGGATTTCTTTACATAGTAAATAAAATGAATCAAAAAAAAAATCAAATGCCTCAAATTTTCTAATTGTGCAACATAAATTTAAAAATGTTTATCCCAAGTAGAAAAATCATCCTGAACATCCTCTTTGTCATCTTGAAAAGTTTCAAAATATCTTGTATCAGTTTTACTGTTTAATGAAATCCTTATTGGAGGCTCAATCTCTAAATTTCTCAATTTTTCCCAGTCAAGTTTGGAGAACCATGGATGAATTTTAATATCTTTAATGCCATTTTTTTGACAGCCTATTCTATCTATAGACAATGGTCTGCATAGTTTTTTGATAAGATTCCTTGCTCTCGGAGAAACAATAAAAGGAAATGTCACAAAATCGATACCTTTTAAAATTGCTTTGTAGGTTTTAAGATCATTATGCATGTCATTTCTAAATGGCGACTTTCCTACTAGTAATTCAAAAATAAATACGCCTAACGCCCAATAGTCAACTCCTCTGTCATGGGGTAGATTCTTTATTAGCTCGGGCGAAACGTATTCTGCAGTACCGACGAAACTGAAGGAAGTTTCGTTTATTGGAATTTTTTTCGCAAAACCAAAATCGGTCAGTTTGAGGTAGCCAGTTTCTGATACCATAACATTTTCAGGCTTGAGATCTCTGTAGATTATGTCTTTGGAGTGGAGGTAGTCAAGAGCTTCAATAATACAACCTGAAAAAGAGTTTAATTTTAAATTCTGCCTTGAATTTTTTTTTAAATTGTTTTGATTTCCTAGTAACTAACTAATAGTCATTAGTTATTAGAATAAAGGGGTCAATGCCTGTACTTTTAAACAGTAAATATTTGTGTGAAACACTAAGTTTTCAAGGTCATGTGATAAATTCCAGATGTCAGTTTTGCTGCGCTTTTGTTAAAGGTTGTAATATATGTATGGAATTGAAAATTGAATTATCTTCTGGAATTATCTTGAATTATCTTTTGGAAACAACGCCACATTATAAAATAAACACCAAGAGAAGAAGTCAGTGATATATCATGCCCCAATGTGTCCAGAATGGGTTAGTGGTGAATTGAACGCCAATAAGGGTGATATGGAATAGCGTAGGTTCGCAAATCATCGGAAAAAAAGGCTTTTCATCTTTTTTATAGAGATTTTCTATAGCTTTCTTTTTGGCCCGATATATTTTTTTCTATATTTAATATAAAAACTAAGATTCATTTTCATACGATTTTAGCATTTTACACAGCGTTGCCAAATTTTATCTTTACCCTCCCATTTTGGAGACTTTTTAGACCTTGACAGACACCAAAACATACCCTTGTTCGCTTTCTATCAATTGGTCTGTGGGAAAATCCTTAATACACCGAGTTATAGAACTGCATAGTCAATCTGGTCACCAGTTATGTTTAGTTTATATGCTAATGAAGACATTTATGTAGTATGTATTCAATTTCATTTGAATGAACTGCATAGTAAGGATTCCAGACAAAAAAAAATCAAATGCGATCACATGCTTCATAAACCCAATATTTGCAGTGCCTTATTTGAGATTTTGCTAATATGGGAAACGAAAGGTAAACTAATGTTCAGGACAACAGTTGGAAGTTCCTACCGTCAAGGCTGTAATTTATTATAATGGGATTTTGTTTGAGCAATAAAATGTCAAGGCATTTCTGAACATTTAAATACCAGTCAGCTACACACTAGTTGGTTAGTGAATCAATTTATTTTAGATTTTAAGATTGCAAAGTTAAGCTAGCTTTGACAGTAAACAGTAGCAGTTGGATAAATAATTTTAAAAATTTTTACCCGCATAAAATTTAGCAGCATCAGTATCAAAACATTTTCTTCTTTGTCTTCTTAAAAGATTCCATAAGTCACCACCTAAACATGGTTCCAAAAGGAAGTAAAGAAATTTCGTGTCCCGGAAAGTTCGGTACAGTCTCACTACGAAGTCGCTGTCACAAGCCATTTGTAGATCTTTTTCATTGAAGACCTAAAATGACAATATGTACTTCTATATTGAGTTGAAGAGCAACATTCACCCTTTTCACAAAGTAGCTAAATATAATGATTTTTTTACCTGGTCGATTTGTGGTTGACCATTGATTTCATATTTTTTCATTAATTTTAATGCAAAAATGTCATCTTTATGCCTTCTGTTTTGCACCAAATCCACTCTGCCAAATCCACCTACTCCCAATGTTTTCAGTTTTTTTAAATCTTTTAATTTCATTTCATTGTATTTCTCATTTTGGAAACCTAAAATATTTTATTGAATAACAAATTGACTATAATAATAATAATTAGACAAACAGAAAGTGTCATTACAAAGGCCACATTTTTAGTCTAAACTATGTTGTGTTTTGTGTTCTCAAATTCATCACAGGTTATTTTTAACTGTTATGAGTCGTCAAATCATAAGAATTAATGCAAATTAATATTAAATAATATAATCTTGTTACTATATTTATTACATAAATAAATTTATTCACCTGCACTGTGTAATTTTCCATGCAAAAAATCCTCCAAATCATTAAAATGATCCAAAAAATGTCTTCTAGATAATAACAAGCATTCCACGCCAGGTGCTTCGGCCACAATAGTGTAAAGACTAATAGTTTCTTTTAAAAATATATAATCTCCGAAAAAACAGCCTCTGCTCAATTTTTCTACTTTTTGAATTCTGTCTCTAGTTGAAATTGTTGCACTACCTGATGTAACAATGAGAAAACAATCAACAATATCTCCTTCCTTGACAAGTAAACTGTTGCTCGGGTAGAATTTTTCTTCCAATATATCACAAAGACGATACAATCTGGCATCCGAGGCTCTACCTAATGTAGGTACATCTTTTAGGAATTCTATTATTTTATCTCTATTTTCGATATGCGAATTTACTGTTAGATTTTTATAGTATAGACAATCAAGTACCCATACTTTCCCCTTTGAAAAAAAAAATATTTACTTATTTCAATTTAATTTACAATTAACTTGTTTTACCTCTGTCAACGCCTTAACAGTCTGTGCCGCCTTCGCACTATGCAATACGGCCACTTCTCCAAAGGTTCTAACTCCGTGAACTTTTCCAGTTTGCTTTCCATTCTCTGATATTTCATATGTTCCACTTTTGGTGACATAAAGATATGAATTGATTTTTCCTTGTTCCAATAGAATTTCGCCTTGTTTCATGTGTTTAATATGCATGCAATCGATTAGTTTTTGAAGCGAAGATCCAGTTAAGACGTTTCTTAAAAATTCGTTGTTGACTAGGGTTTGGTAGATACTGATTTCCTCACTGAAAGAAATACATTATTTTATATTAGTTAGCAAGTAGTAGGACAGTTGCGGAAAAGAATATCTAATAGAGTCCAGGAAGACATGAGCCTCTAGGTATTACAAATTTAAAGAGCAATAGAATCAACCTTTGTTAGCCATTTATTGGCATCAGGACAACGTCGAGGTAAATTCATCATATTGAGAGTATCAGGTTGAATGTCTTGGGGAAGATGGAAGCGAAGCAAATTGTTATAGATTCTCAATGTTACCTACCTTTTTGTTACCTTTATTATTTTACTTGGTATTTTATGATTGTCTTGGTGTTGTCATTATATTGAAAAGTATTAAATTTTTATACATACTGCAATACATATTACAACCAAAGCTAGAGAGAGCCCAAATCCTACTTGCGTAAAGACGTATTGAACTTTGAACGAAACTTCCAGAATTCTAGAAAGTTAATTCGGCCGGGTGATTGATTTTGTAAGTGAGGCGCGTAGTTTGTTAGTTGCTGTCAGTTTAAATAAAAGAATTGTAAAAGTGATAGGTGTTTAGAGAACTTTGTCAATTAATTCAATAAAAGCAGTTGTTAGTAAAGAGAGTTTAAGTGAACAGGGAATTCGTGTCTGTAGACTGTAGTACGGTTCCATTTATCTACAAAATGAGATAAACGATATTTTTATTAGAATTATATTTCTGAATACACCTAGCAAATCTGAAATAATAAAATGATATACATAATGAATGAAGTAAAGCTTCCCTACATAATGCACCATTTATTATTTAACAAAAAAAAAAACATGTTTCCGTAGTAGGCTGAGCACTTAAAAAAATTATCATTATCGTGCAACTAATTATCATGAAACTGCGATCAGAAGCAATCTATAGTATTTAGAGTTCTAATTAACATATCTAACTAATCTCTAAACGTCATGCATGGAAAGCATACCAAAAATCGATATGCCATTTATTGAATGTTTAGCTCTGAATAAAAATATTTGGAAAATGACTGGAAAAAAAAAAAAAAAAACTAAGGACAAATTGATGAATGAAGATAATGAAAACTTAATGTGTGATGAGATTTATTCCTTGCGTAAGTTATGAGTTATCCGCCTAACACAAAACAATAACTATTCTAATAGGAAATAAAAGGACCACTGTTCGGAAAAATTCACACAAAATGGATTTCGGATGTTTATATCCGTGTTGATATCCACCAATTGAAATTGCAAATGTCGAAAACCGGTGTTTGGCCTAATTGAAACCAAAACTTTCAACATAAATCTTAGATTATTGTTTTTGTATTTAATTTTAAATAAAAAGATGATGGAAGCAAAATTTATGATACCAATAAAATACGTATTTTTATTCAAAAAAAAAAAAAAATGTATCTTTCCATAGGTCTGTACTTACTCTTTACTTTTTTCAGTTTTTTCATTAGTCCTAACATTTGAGTTTTCATCATAGCTTCCATTGTTACCAACTAAAGGACTCAATAGTCCTGATCTTCTTTGCTTGAATTTGGTTCTGTTAGTCTGAATCTTACGAAAATTCTTCAAAGTCATTTTGAAATCGCTTTATTATGCTGCAACAATGAAATTTATTGTTATAATGTAATTTGAATTGATTTGGATAAATAGATTTTAATAAACTAACTAAAGATAAGTTTTTTGTTATATGAACAGGTTTACAAATGAAATATTCGTTGACACACAAAAGTGAACTGAACCACCCTGCACCATCATACCCTGTTAAGGTATATGTCCATTACTGATAAACATTCTCAATTTTATCAATACTGGGGGTCATTTGTATCAAACAGGTGGTCAATTTGACCTTTATTGTTTGTATTTATCGGCAACAAACAATTAGTGGTAGGTATTGGATATTTGAAGTTTTTGACCCTTGGGCTTTAACCTTGACGAGTTTTCCCTAATTCAATAAAAGAAAGCCTTGGAGAGACACATTTAATTGAGAAATAAAAAGTCCAATTTTCTCGAGCAAATATCGTATTTTCCATGGAATCGTTTTATGAATTTTTTATAAAGGTGAAATGATTACATGTTTTTAGAACACGAAGCCATTTTTATTGATGTCGACTGGAATTATGAATACGTGTCGGAATTGTAAATAATTTAAGCTGAAATAAATGAAATTAGTTATTACAATTTGATGAACTGCTGGATTTTTTCGTTGTCCCACAAATAAAAAAGGATTTAAAGACTTGTTTCATATAGGAATATAACAAATAAAGACAAATTTTAATATTTTAGCAATTTTTATAATAATCCAGTTTGTGACTAAATACAGAATGAGTTCTCTCAACAATGATGACCTAGGTTCACATTAGCACAATGTTTAATAAACAAATATTTAATTAATTTCTTTGCTTAAATAAGTAGGTACTTTGCAAACAGCTAAAATCCCAAAGGACAATATTTTGTTTTGTCATTAGCGTAACTATTATCTTACGACAATGTAACACGAAACTGAAAATTAGGATGTTTTCAATTACCCTCCTGGGAAAAAATTAAGGAGGATTTTATAAATGTTTAAATTGTTGATTTACGTGATTTTATTAACTTATAATGAGCATGATGGTGATAACTTCTGGCGTTTTTGATAGATACGTCCAAACTGTACTCTGAAAATCTACAAATTAATACAATTTAGTGTAGAAAATCATGACAAACGTGAAATTTATTTTTATTTTTTTTATTTTACAATCTAACAATATTTATCTTAGCTATCTGTTATTGTATGGAATTAAAACAAATCGTATCTACTAAATAATTATTAAGTTCAAGTGTCCGCTGCTATTTAGAAACTCCTGATTGATATTTAATTAATTATTGCGTAAAAATTAAAAATAATATTCAATTATTATTGCAAATAAATGAGAAACACACTTAAAAGCGTTCTCTATGAATGGTTTTGCCGATGATAACGTTAGTTGATGAAAATAATAATTGTTTCTCGTTATCTTTTGGAACTAATATGTGCACGAGTCTGATGTAGGGCAGGGGTAAACGAATATGAATTTTGAGAATTTTTTTTTTGATTGGTTGCAAATGTGAATAAAACCTAATTTAACTTAACCTACGGTTGGGGATATAGGAGTACAACACAGATATTAGAGGTGGTTTTTTTTTAAAATAACTTGAGTATAATTTATAGGTATGGTGGAAAAATATATTAGTACCTAATGCAATATGCAATATTCAACAATTTGATATCTCTACGTATAGGTGAGTATCAGAATTGCAGAATTTAGGGAAAATGATCTGGTTTGTTCAAGTGGAAGGAATATTTGCAAATGAAAATATAAAATATTTAGTCGAGTCTGCTTCTTAGTTTTGGTATTAAACGGCGTTTAATTTTATAATGAAAGCAACACACTTGGTGTTATTTTTTTACGATTTAACAACCAAACTATTACAGATTTCATGAAAAAAATATTAAGAGTAGGTACCTACTTTTATGTAGAGGGCATAAAATTACCTTAGATGATGAGGTAAAGTTGTATGCACCGCTTTATTCAAAACATACCTTCAAAATATATGTGGATATTTAAAACCTACCTAGCCACTTAATTTTTGAGCTCTTTTCCACTATACTGGTAATGGCAACAGCCACAGCATAAGCTATTTTGTATAACATTTTGCTGGTTGCTGGTTGCGCAAAAAAATAATAATCCTCGAGATTTTGTTTAGCTACGACCAAAATTTCAATTTTTTATTTATTCACACGAACGAGAAATCGAGATTTATTTTAAGTTATTTTTTAGCTCAAAATTATGGATTTTTTTTTTCAATAACGGCTGGAGATAGCCAGGAAGTTATTAGGGAAAGTTATTTGAAATTGAAATAGGGCCAATAGAGGTGCGAAAATTTAAATGATTGAAACGAGAAAGATATAATATATTTCATATAATAAATTCAGTATAATGACAATTGATAGTCACGTCACTGTCACTAGTCACACTCACAACGACCAATCCAATGGCCTGACAGATCCACCACAATTCTCATACGTCAGGATTCACTAGGGTCACTAGTACAGAAATAAAATGAACAATAATAAATGTGAATCGTGCCAAATTTTTCAAAGTGGTGCCCCCGTGCATTTTACGGGCGAAAAGTGCCACTTTTGGCAAAATCGTGCCCTTTGAACAAGGTCTATAAACCTAGCAGTCCCAAGGTGGAAAAAAACTTCGGGAACTATATAATAATTAGGTGCTAATTAGGGCCTCTAATTAAAAATTAGGTGCTCCTCTAGTTTTTGAGAAAATCAAAAAAAAAAACTAAGGGACTGCTAGGTTAATAAAAGCTAGCAGTCCCCTATAGTAAAAAATATTTTTTCAAATTTTTTCTTTGTATCAGAATTAGGTGCTTTTTAGGTGCTCCTAAATGGTCCAAGAAAAAATAGAATTGATTAATTATTAACTGAGTTACAGATTTTTTTTTAATTATTAGGGGAGTGCTGGCTTTACGTTTACATGTTGGTATGTCAGAATGGAAAAAAACTTCGGGATCTATATAATAATTAGGTGCTTTTTAAGTGCTAATTGGGGGCCTCTAATTAAAAATTAGGTGCTCCTCTAGTTTTTGAGAAAATCAAAAAAAAGTAAGGGACTGCTAGGTTTTTGAAAGCTAGAAGTCCCCTATAGTAAAAAATATTTCTTCAAAATTTTCTTTTGTATCAGAATTCGGTGCTTTTAAGGTGCTCCTAAATAGTCGAAGAAAAAATAGAATTGATTAATTATTAACTGAGTTACGGATTTTTTTTTAATTATAAGGGGACTGCTGGCTTTACGTTTACTTGTTGGTGTGTCAGAATGGCAAAAAAACTTCGGGATCTATATAATAATTAGGTGCTTTTTAGGTGCTAATTAGGGCCTCTAATTAAAAATTAGGTGCTCCTCTAGTTTTTGAGAAAAAAAAAAAAAAAACTAAGGGATTGCTAGGTTTATGAAAGCTAGTAGTCCCCTATAGTGAAAAATATTTTTCCAAAAATTTCTTTTGTATCAGAATCAGGTGCTTTTTAGGTGCTTCTAAATAGTCGAAGAAAAAATAGAATTGATTAATTGTTAACTGAGTTACAGTTTTTTTTTTAATTATTAGGAGACTTCTAGCTTTCATAAACCTAGCAGTCCCTTAGTTTTTCTTGATTTTCTCAAAAACTAAAGGAGCGCTTAATTTTCAATTAGAGGCAAGTAGCACCTAAAAAGCACCTAATTATTATATAGATAGTTTTTTTGCCATTGTGACACACCAACAAGTAAACGTGAAGCCAGCAGTCCCCTAATAATTAAAAAAAAATCTGTAACTCAGTTAATAATTAATCAATTCTATATAGGAGGAGAAATGAGAAATAAAACAATGTACTGAATATAAATATTTGGGCATGAAAATCTCACATGAGGGAACTCTAGACGAAGCAATTAAAGACCGGAATATACAGGGGCGCAAGGCAATATCCCTACTAAATGGTGTACTGTGGGACCAAAATATCAACAAAACTAACAAAACTAGAATATACAACACCATAGTCAAAAGCATAGTCACACATATAGCTCAGAAGTTTGGCCACTAAAGAACAGAACCGCAAAAATGCTGGAAGCAACTGAAATGGACTTTTGGAGAAGATCCGCAGGCAGGTCAAAGATGGAAAGGATAACAAATCTGAGAATAAGGGAGATTATGGACGTAAAACACACAATAGTAGATGATATAAAGGACAAACAGCTATTTTGGTTCGGACATGTACAAAAAATGGCAGATACAAGGATACCCAAGCAAATTATTGAGTGGAGGCCAGGGAGAAGAAGAAGACGCGGTAGACCGAGAACCGAGAAGGAGCTGGAGAAGTGGAGTAGACGAAGAAATGAGAGACAGAGGCTTAGAAGAGGATGCCTGGATTGACAGAGATGGTTGGAGATCGGGAATTGGAAGACGTAGAACGTTATAAACCGATAATTATGTATATATATATATATATATATATATATATATATATATATATATATATATATACAAAATCCTATCATTGCTGCGTCCATAAACTTCCTCAACACATACACTATTGCTTCCTTCGAATTACTGCGTCCGAATATCGGACGCAACAATGTCAACTCATGTTTTTGTGACTTCCCGTCAATTTTTAAACAAAATTTAGGCGCCAACAGGTGACAGAAGTTTCTAAGTTTCCTTTCCACAATAAAAAGTGGAAGCATCTATTGGGATTTTTATGATTTTACTGGATTTTCTGTTTGGTAGTGGACGCAATAATATTCGTGTTATAGATAAAAATGTATACTATTAGTTCATCGATTCTCCGGTAGAGGTGCGAAAATAATATACAGAGTCAAGTATACAGTACATAAACCTAGTATGTTATTGCGTCCGAAGCTTGGCAACATGGCAATCTATTTTTAGCTCGGGATTTTTGTGTGGTGTGATGTTTTGTATCGTGTCATCATTTTAGCAGAAGCCAAAGCCATTGTTGCTTCCAGTCAGCAAATATGAAACGAAGTGTGAGAATATTAGGTTTATGCTACAGAGGA